AGTAACGAATGTATACCCATTATTTACACTTACAGTTACACGATATATACCCATATACACGTACAATTGCACGATATATACCATATATATCTACAGTACACGGATATATACCCATCATACACTACAATTACACGTATATACCCATATACACTACAGTACACGATATCATACCCATATACACTTACAGTACACGATATATACCACATATACACTACAGTACACGATATAATACCCATATATTACTACAGGTACACGATATATATACCCATTACACTACAGTACCACGATGTGGTATTACCCATGATTACACTACAGTAACGATATATACCCATATACACTACAGTACACCGATATAATACCCCCATATCACACTACAGTACACGATAGTTATATACCCATATACACTACAGTACACGGATATTATACCCATATTTACACTACAGTACCGACTATATTACCCAATATTACACTACGTACACGATGTATATACCATATACACGTACAGTACAACTGATAATATCTACCCATATACTAGCTACAGTACACGATAGTATACCCATATACACTACGTACAACGAGATAATACCCATATAACACTACAGCTACACGATGCGTATATATACCATATCACACAGTACACGATACTCATACCCATTACAATGACAGTACAACGATTGATACCCAGTATACACCTACAGTAACGATACTATACCCATATACACCTACAATACACGATATATAGCCTACAGTATACACTACAATACACGATATATACTCATATCCACTACACGTTATACTAACCGTCTTCCGTTGCGTTAAACCTTTTAGGTTCAGTTCAAATACGAAATCCGGGTTGGTGGCTGATAATCAATACGGAACAGAGATGGAAAATGGAGAATGGAACGCATGGTCGCGAGAACTCAGAAACGGGTAAGGGAAATGAGAGGCAATGGAGTGCGAAGAAGGGACATCGAAGACGAGGAAGAGTGAGAGGAGAGAGGGTATACAGCGAGTGCGAGACGGAACCGGAGAAAAAAAACAGAGAGATCACCGAATATGTACACACATGAATAAAGAGTAGATGATGGAGACGCGTTAAACCCGCATGTTTCACCCGCTTTCCCTTTAAATTTAGATGCAAATTTGCAGATAAAAGTTTATATGCGTTACATATTCTATTGCGTCCGCCATTTGGTACCCATTACTCTTTATAAATAAATAAATAAAATAAATAAATATATATATATATAGTAGTAGAGAGAGAGAGAGAGAGAGAGAGAGAGAGAGGAGGAGAGAGGAGGGGGGCGGAGAGAGAGAGAGGGGAGAAAGAAAGAGAAAGAGGGAGAGAGAGCGAGAGAGAAATTATATATATATACATATTATCTCCTGCAAATTTGAATAGTATTCCGAATTTGGATAAGATATTGTTTTAAAATATTCTGCTGTGAAACAGACTTGCCGCTCATAATCAAGCAAAAAACATCACCGATCACCGCGTATAAACCATCGATACACGTTTACGAGCTCTTGACATCACGCGTGTGTCACAGGCGGTTATTTACGCAAGCTAACGACAGACTGTTCGTAGCTGCCCGTAGGTAGGGGGGTATTCACATAAGCTAACAGGGGCGGATCAAGCTTTCAGGAGACGGGGTGGGTTGATATTTGAGTGAAGGCGTGCCGAAGTCAAAGGTGGGCTAGGGTGGCACCATTTTACTAGTATCATAACAATAGTAAATGGCTGAACGGGGGGGGGGGGGGAGAGGTTGCAACCCCACCAACCCCCCTCTAGATCCGCCACTGGCTAATGGCAGACTATAATGGTGATCTGTAGGAGGTAGATATGGCGATCGCTGGCATGACGATCACGGCCGCTAGGGAGAGTGTCGTCGACTTCTCCAAGCCGTTCATGAGTCTCGGCATCAGCATCATGATCATGGAGCCGGAGAAACCCAAGCCGGGAGTCTTCTCCTTCATGAACCCGCTCTCCTACGAAATCTGGATGTGCATCATTTTCGCGATGATAGGTAAATGATCAGGAGTCTATCAATACATTTTGATAGACTCCTGAAATAATGCATGACGAGCGTGTGACGTCACCAGGATGTAATGTGGTGGCGCTGTCGAGATGCCTGTGTAAATCAATGCTTACCTTATTCCACACGCTCATAATCAACCTAGCTCTGCAACCGAGTATTGCTTGCCTGCGTCAGACGACCCCGTATTTCTTACCTGCGTCAGACGGCCCCGTATTGCTTACCTGCGTCAATTGACCCCGTATTGGCTACCTGCGTCAGAAGGCCCCGTATTGCGTCAGACGGCCCTGAATGTTGCTTACTTGCGTCATACGACCCCGTATTGCTTGCCTGCGTCCTACGATCCCGTATTACTTACTTGCGTCATACGACCCCGTATTGCTTGCCTGCGTCATACGACCGCGTATTGCTTACCTGCGTCATACAGCCCCGTATTGCGACAGACGGCCCTGAATATTGCTTACCTGCATCAGAATGTGACCCTGTATTGATTGCCCTCTCGCAGGTGTGAGCGTCGTACTGTTTCTCGTCTCGCGCTTCAGTCCGTACGAGTGGAGAGTCGAGTACACGGGCAACGGTCCCGAAATAGTCAACGACTTCAACATCTTCAACAGCCTCTGGTTCTCTCTCGGCGCCTTCATGCAGCAGGGCTGCGATATTTCTCCCAGGTAAGTTAGGGTTAGGGTTAGGGAGAGGGTTAGGGTTAGGGTTAGGGTTAGGGAGAAGGTTAGGGTTAGGGTAAGGGAGAGGGTTAGGATTAGGGTTAGGGTTAGGGTTAGGGTTATGGTTAGGGTTAGGGTTAGGGTTAGGGCTTGGGTTAGGGTTGAGGTTAGGGTTGGGGTTGGAGTTAGGATAAGGGTTAAGGTTAGGATTAGGGTTGGAGTTAGGGTTAGTGTTACGGTTACGGTTAGAGCTTGAATTAGTGATAAGATTAGGGTTAGGGTTAGGGTTAGGTGAGTGAAACACAGTCAGGTTAACTAATGAACAATGAACGGCGATGTAAACTCTAGGGAACTAAATGCAGACAAGGCAAAGTTTCTGCCGCAAACGGTAATAAACGGGTAAAATTAAAAAACTGACCTTAAACGAAAACATAGTAAAATTACGAGTTTCTTCTACACAGTGTATGTAGTTCCGGACTATGAGAAAAACATCTCTTTTCTAATCTTAAAACAAATATTAAAACCATTTAGTTTTTGACAACGGAACCCCCTGTACCCGTGCACTATCTTACCACGTCATAGCATCCATCCACGCATTACTGAGGTGCCTTACCACTATTTTGTTTCTGAAAACGGCGCACCCCCCCCTGTACCCAGGCACCATCGCGTCATGTTACTAACTAACCATACATAGTGTCTCTATATATTTCTATGGTCACGTCATAGCATCCATTCGCGTCAAGGAGGTGTTTTGCAGACTTACTATTCTGCTATTTGTGCTTTATTAATACTGTTTAGACTTAATCAACTTATTACTCTATGTAACAAACTAGAATAATGTATGTGAACAATTCATTTTAGTTACTTTAGCTGAAAAGCTCGACACTAGTCCTACCACGCTAAAAAAAAACACTCCACACCACACCACACCCATCACACCACACCACACCACACCACACCACACCCATCACACCACACCACACCACACCACACCACGCCACGCCACGCCACGCCGCGCCACGCCGCGCCGCGCCGCACCACACCACACCACACCACACTACACCACTCCCATCACACCACACCACACCACACCACACCACACCACGCCACGCCACGCCGCGCCGCGCCGCGCCGCGCCGCGCCGCACCACACCACACCACACTACACCACACCTTGCGACACGCAGGTCGATCTCGGGCCGGATCGTCGGGTCGGTGTGGTGGTTCTTCACTCTCATCATGATCTCCTCCTACACTGCTAACCTGGCCGCCTTCCTCACCGTGGAGCGCATGACGGCGCCGATAGAGAGCGCTGACGACCTAGCGAAGCAGATGGAGATACAGTACGGAACCTATCAGGGAGGCTCTACGTTCCGCTTCTTCAAGGTAAGCAGTTCTACCGACAAGCAATAGCAAAGCAATATAAATAATAAAATAATAATAATAATAATATAATAGCAAGGTAAGCAGTATGCGAGACGATGGTCTTACACGCTGCTGTATTTAGTTGTTATTATTGCAGATGATGGACTGTTTAATAGCATTAGTTGTTATGATTGTGTCGATGTACTGTTTAATAGGATATGTTAGATTGGGAATTATCGAGTTCACCGTTATGATTGTAGACGATGGCCTGTGTAATAGGATACGTTAGTCATGATTGCAGATGATGGACTGTTTAATAGGATACGTTAAATTGTCGTGCTTACGCGTTGGTGCATTAGCCGTTATGATTGCAGTTGTTGGGCTGTTTGATGGGGGATATGTTATATAGGGATTTATCGAGTTCACGGTTATGGTTGCAGATGATGGACAGTTTGATGGGATATGTTTGATTGGGATTTATCGAGTGCACGAAGGCGAAATAACCGTCTGATCCCGTAATATTACGGGGGATCGATATTCCGTCTGGCAGTGGGTGCTTGCGTGCTCGCCCGCGCGCGCCTGTCTGTGTGTGTGACTGACTGTGTGTGTCTGTGTGACTGTATGTTTGTATATGTGTGTGTATATGTGTGTGTGGTTGTGTGCGTGTGTGCGTGTGTGTGCGCGTGTGCATGCGTGCGCGCGCGCGTGTGTGTGTGTGCGTGTGGTGCGTGCGTGCGTGCGTGCGTGCGTGCGCGTGCGCGTGCGCGTGCTCGTGGTGTGTGTGCGTGTGCGTGTGCGTGTGCGTGTGCGTGTGCGTGTGCGTGTGCGTGTGCGTGTGTGTGTGTGTGTGTGTGTGTGTGTGTGTGTGTGTGTGTGTGTGTGTGTGTGT